CGAATTGGATATGAAGATTGCCGTGAATGGTGAACTGGAAAGTATCTGTAAGGAGAAGGAAGTCGTAACATTCTTTCAAGGTAGCACAACGAGAGTAAAGAATAATAACCCTTTGTTTCAGAAGGCAAACAAACTTACACACGGACTGACATTGTTCAAATATTTTTTGCTGAATACCAAATAAAGTGGAGCGAAAATTACACACAGCCGCAAATGATAAAAAAAAGTGGGTATTTAGATGGTGCAACAGAATACATCCTACATCAGCAAATCTAATTGTGATGTGTCCGAGCAGATCATAGATACGCTGACACTGTCTCAGTTCAGTCAGCAGAAGAAATCTGTCTCGCATTCCTCCGGCCGTGGTGTATCATACATATTTCATGCTCAGGCCAGAGGTCATCATAAATTAACGGGACTTTACTACCGTACGCACTCATCTGCTAGGAAGTCAGCCTAAATATGAAAATTATTTGTTCAGTTTTCGCAGCCAGAGTCTGGGAGCTGAGCTTGGTACACTTTGATGTGGGGACTGTCAGGTACGGAGTCAAACTCGAATCCGTTTCGACGGACCTGGACGTCGTCCTGTTGACGGAATCACATCTTTACCGACTTCGTAGCACCATCATCTTGCAGGAAGTGATGTCATGTCAGATGTTCTTAAGCTTCGGGAAAGAGAGAACCAGGGTTCGAGCTTTGAAAAATGTGGAACAAAAAGTAATTCTTTCGTGATCGAATGGAACTATACCTTGGAACGCACAGAACCGATCAGATAAAATACATCTTTAGCAGATACAGCCAGCGAGATGCTGTTAGCCGCCTCTTTCAGACCTAACGTGATTCTGTATAGAATGCATGGAGGTAAACCTCCGCACATTCAAGATCATCACAATATGGAGTTTAATGGTCTCTGGCCTTTGTTTAATTCTCCTGAAGGAGCTCCCAGTACCCATCGGACGAGGTTCGGTGCACCTACCTGGTGTTGTCACCTTCCTGTCGGAAATCGGATTCCGGCTTATTGTGGCCGGAGTCACCCACTTTGCACGATCCCGGATGATCGTCTCTGTTTTCACAACAAATGTTGGCGCATGCAGTGCGATGGTCCGTCATGGCGTCTCGTGGAATTAGGAGTTGAGTGTGTCAGTGGTCCATCGTCGGTCGGACTGTCTTCGCCTGGTAACGAGCACCGTTACGGCACTCCGGAGCAGGAAGCAAGTCCAGTGAAGGCGACTCGAGCGACCTCGACCTCCGAGTGGACACGGCAACATGTTCCGATGTTCTGATTTTATGTTTTGCGCAGTAACCGGCGTGGTGTCCCAAATGTTGATCGCGGGCCGCGGTACAGAACGGAACAGACTGAACTGATCTGTGCCAGCGCCCATGCCAAGCTCGTGTTTTTAATCTAGCAACATTGGTAATAACAACATGGCGGACACGTCGAGTAGAGTCATAGAACTTCATTTGGCAACAGACATTGCATTCAGATTCTGCTTTGACGGCGATAAATGGGGAACAGCTTCAGCGAGAAATATGAATTTGGTATGAAGGTACATTATAATTGTACCCATAAACACAGTAGATGCCAACATAACCTATAAATTTGTTTATAAAGCAGCTGTTACAAACACGACATCGATGTGAATCTTTCAAGTTTAAAATGACGAATTTGACTTAATCACGATCTGTGCTTAAGCGGTAAGTTCTTTATAAAATAATAATTAATAAAATACTTTTTATGCGACATTGGAAATTTGAAACAGTAAATAAGTACTTTCCAGTAGAATTTGTTCCTGTGTAGTGTAGTATAGTTTCAGCATGATTTCCCATTACGTAATTAAATAACATTTGTAGAAGTGAATGTACACTTACGCGTTCTGTCCAGAAGTAATTTTGCTATGGTCTATTCATCGCTTTGCATTGTTTGTGTCTGCCATGTTTTCTTGCAGCCGTAATTACATCGGTTTGAGTTTCGGGTCTAATTATTCTAGCTGAAGTACGTGCATTTCGGGGATCGTTTGGTACTTAAAGAACTCCGGTGGTCTGACTTGTGACACAGACTCTATTTCTACGTTACAACGAGTAGGATTTGAGGTCTTCGCGGAGGTGAGTCCGAAGATGACCAACTCAAAGTTGTAACGAGATTTATGGAGTGGGGACATCCGGTTTGAACGAACCCCCGCCAGAAGTCGCTTCTGTCGGAATCTTCCAAATCGTTGCCTTCTCAGCCTGGGGTGTCTGATTCGACTGAGATTTTTGCTGTTATCATCAGTACCATTACAGGGTAATATCTTAAGAGAGGTCGCGGCAGCTTTTTTCTAAATCTTTAATGGTTCACAGTTACCCTCCCGTTCCTACCGACGCCATGGAGCACAGTCCTTGCAGTCGCTCAGCTGGTAAAGAAGTTCCTTGCCTTTCATATAACTTGAAGGTTCATTGCCGTGTCCACGAGAGTTCGCCACTGGACAATGTCCTGAGTCAGTCCTCTCTTCATTTCATACCCTCGTGACAAGCAGATGTACGTACCAAAAATAAATTGAATTTAATATAAGTACAAAATTCATTTCTGAAAAATTTTCAACTACGTGCATTGATTATACTTAGTTGATTGAATGTGTTTTAAATATGAGAACAGTGAAAGTTCAGCTTTGTTGACTGGGACAGTTATGAAACTGCTAGATTTAAGTTGATTTTTGGAATGCAGTGTAAATTTTTTATTTAGACATATATTCATGTCCCTTGTTGAATAAAATTATGATGATTATATTGTGTTTAGGTGTGACACTTTTCTGTTTTATCATATATATGCATATATGAGTTAAAATAATGTGTTGATTTTTGATATATATGGAGTTTCTCGGTGCCCTTCCTGCAAGCGGGTTACATTAATTTACAGCTCGCAGTCCTGGAAATATATTAGAACACCGTACAACTTTGCAAACACCTCGCTTCAAATCAGACGTTGGAACAGTTGACGGTATCTTCTGTTGGTTCCACAAAAACCCAGCAGGTGGCGTCTGTGAGACTGATTTAGATTGATTTCTTAGTGCAGCTCACTGTTCAATATTGTTCAATTGCCTTATATATAAACACATGAGAAGTTCGACAAAAGAACCGAACATAGTTCGATGAAATACGAATTAAGACCGAGTCGAAAAATACGAGGTGCGTTCGGAAAGTTTCAAGACTGTGTTAATAGAGGGCGAACCGGATGTAGTACGAGCTTCTGCCGCTAGGGGGTGCGGCCTACATTCATAGTGAATCAGTGTGCCAGCCGGCATCATCGAATTAGCATTTGTTTCTTAGTTACGGGCGTTTTGGTAGGTCATTACACCGACCCTCCTGCGATTTCGGAATGGCGTGTGCATCAAATTTTGCCAAAGACTCGCCAAAACGGCTACAGAAACCTATGAAATGCTAAAGCAAGCATTTGGGGAGTCCGCAATGGGTCGTGCACAAACGTTTGTGTGGCATTCACGTTTTAAAAAGGGCCGGCCGAACCTCTGTCGATGATGACGAGCGTGCTGGACGACCATCTTCGAGCACAACGCCCGAAAATGTTACGAAGATCGAAGTCGTACCATCAACGACTTGTGCGACATTGTTGGGATAGGCTATGGGACATGTCAGCTGATTCTAAAGGAAGAACTCCACATGCGACGCATCATGACAACGCGCCAGCACACACCGCCCTCAAAGTTCGGCAGTTTTTGGCCTCAAACACCATGGCCGTCATCTGCATTTTTAACTCGTTCAGCCCAATTACAGGTAAAATAAACATAAGAAGTGCAGAATCTAATTTCGCTTAAATTTTTCTGTAGTCTTTGTCGCCGTGGATCTTGCTGATAAGACAGTTTAAATGCATGCTAATCGCAACAACGGAAATTGGTCATGACGTGAGATTGCTCAAACAAAACAAGAGTTTCACGTCTCACTAATGACTGATTTTGCTAAAGATGACTGTTGAGTAACATGTGAACATGTTCGTAATAGTAAGTTATTAGCATTTTTAAAACAATCGCCACAGTGTTCCTGCAAATAATGATTCTCATATGTAATCTTGCTTTCCGCTAGTCGATAAGCAAGGATCATTGTGGCCCCAGGTCTAGGAATATTTTAGAACCCCTGGCGAAATGCGCGTAGACGGCTCAAGCATATTCACGTAATTAATCAGCTACTTCCATTTTCCACTTTGCTGACATTACAAAGTTCAGTGGACGAGACCGCAGGACTAGGTCAGGATGGTCACGTGTTTGTTAGCCTGGGGTCCGCGAAACTGCCCGCAAATTCTAGTCAGAAATATAGCTGTCATATTTAACCACAGATAAATAAAAATACGATTTTTAAGACTGACGATTTTTACATTTTTTTTTTGTTCTGACTACGTCGTATGTGTACGAGATGTTTCGTAAACAAAATTCAGCGGCCATTTCTCATCCAAGTCTCTCCTGATTCACTACTAGATGGCTCTATCAGACAAAAATCAGGACTGAGTAGAAATTGTGCGGATTCAGTGGGCTGGTCACTCGCTAATGTACACTTCAAAAAGACCAAGAATCCTCCTAAGTGGGGAGGTCATGGCCCGAAAACGTGCCGAAGCATCATAGATGATGACTCCGATGTTTAGTATCTTCGGTTAAATTATTTACAGTTAGGTTTCTGTCCTTTGTAAACTGAGTGTTTGGAAACCATCGATGAAATGGGCACGTTTTTGGCACTGTGCTTGAAAGCATGGCGTTGAAGCGAGCCATTTGGTGACGACTACTGTAGTGTTCATCTGAGCTAAGTTTCCCATCAGCGATTTATCAGATTTATTACCCAGTAGCCCTGAAGATGAGAGCAGAGATTGTTCTCGAAACGGCGGAAGATATGGTTTGTTCACCGTTCAGCCACCTGACGCGGCTTCAAAGCCGAGAATCTTTCATCAACGTGAGTCATTTGAGATGTTTGGTGCTCTGAAGAGGTGGCACTGATACTGATTTCATTGTTTGTCTCTTCGGCAGATACGGCCGTCTGAACGTGCTACGCTGGTTGCTGTGGGAGGCGGAGATGCCCGCTCTTGAGCGGAGCAGCAATGGCGCCCTCGCGCTCCACTACGCCGCCGCCAGAGGGTGTCTCGACTGCGTCAAGCTGCTAGTTGAGTCGTCTACCGAGCTCAGGTAACGCTCCGAGTTACGTTCTGTCAGGAAAATCCCATTAAGGGTAGAAATTTTATTCATCACGTCTAGATCGGTTGTCTGAGTCATGCAACTACCTAATGGGTATCAGGGGCTATTCCATCCTCGGTGGATGGTAAAATAGTCAGATACAGAACCTGATCGCTCACCTTCAAGTAGTACCGAGGTTAAAATGCGTGAAACTTTTCCTTTTTGCACCCTGATGATGCGTTAATTAATGATATGGAGAAACAGCGTGCATCAACCGAAGTCGAATGGCGCTCATTTTGGGGGGAAGTTTCTTTGTGTCTTCTGATTCAGCATGCGGTCGTGTTGCGGTCACTAAATGAGGAGGCTTCTCGCATTGTGCTGCGAGCATCTTCGATATTGAGGCTTTATGAAGTTGCTCTGAAATACCTTCGGACGAGATACAAAGTCTGACCGAATGTCAATCCAGTCAAGTAGGATTTGAAGATGGCTGGCTCCATCATCAGGGCGATCGAGCTTATGATGGAGGCAGCAAGGGTCTCTGAAACATCGGTAGGCTTCTACCAGACTACACGGCGTTACAACCAAGAAACAGCCATCTTTGTCAAACCAACTGGCCAATGGCGAATTCTCCGGTCTGGTTAAGTAGTGCGCCTCTAGATCACTGTAACTGGATAAACATGGCAAAGTTTTACCATGCAACACAACAGCGGCATTTTATTATTATTATTCCATCTATTCACCACTTTATAGGGTATTTACGTCTATGCACCCGAGACAAACCTTGCCCTAAGGTACATAGGGCAGCAGCTATTTCAGAAATACATTTTGTTTTTAAATACGTTTTACATGTATTACATGGATTTATTGTGAGGCATGACTGTAGATACTATATATTTTACATGAGTCACAGTGGCCGCGGGGTCTGAGGCGTAGGCCTTGTACCGCTTGGTCGCTGGGACCATGGGTTCGAATCCCACTCAAGCCATGGATGTTTGTCCGCGTTGTCCTGTGTACAGGTAGAGGCCTTGCGAAGGGCCGATCCCTCGTCCAAGGAGTCCTACCGAATGTCTATAGATCAAGCCAACGAAAAGTTGGGCAGTGCTCAGGCACGGATCGTCCCAGTATCAGTACCAGTAGTATTTTACATGAGCGTCTTTGGAATCATGTATGATGATCCTAGAATGGCGGTTTTCTGAAGTTTCCTAATGTCGTGTTCGCCCGGGGTGTTAGCCAAATGTTTTTAAGTAAAATGCCTGATCATTCTCGTGTAGTTGTTGGGGGTGTTTAGTGATACTGAATTTCCGCACGACCTGAGTTCTGGACCAGGATTTGCCACCGCGTACCGAAATCAATGCTTCGGTCTTTTTGTGGTTATCTCTGTGGGAGTGTTGAAGTACAATGGCCCCGGCGTTGTTTCTGCATTTCTGCCACGCGACCGTGAAGAAGCGAAAAGATAGTGAAAACGCAAGTTGTTGAAATAGTGGGTCACGTCCTCTTTTGTATTGCCACAAGCGAGAAGGGTCCTTTATCGCGTCGAAAAGAATAATAATTTATTCCAGCATTTTTCCTCCCAGATCGCATTGAAAGTTTACCATTTACATTTTTTTAACAGGGTAGAAATTAAACGCGAAAATATTTTCACGGCGACTGAAGTCACATTCCTGCCAACATAGGACCGAGCGCCGTACTGCAGCGGACACCGCTCGTCATCGCAGCTTCTTTGCGTTTCCAGATGGCTGTTTTCTGGGTTGTAGCTCAGTGTAGTTTGTTGATGGAGGCAGCAGGGACCTCTGAAATGTTGGTGAACCAGGCATCCATGTTTGTGTTCAATGCCGCGAGAACCTTAAATCATCCTTTGTATCTCTTGCTATCAGTGTCGCCACCGTCAGGACTTAGTTTCAATTTTTTCCACATGGGATTAACAGCGCACTCGTACGGTCTCTTGTATTTGAAGTCGATTCTGGTGTCCGCTCCCCACGAACTGTTACTAAGTTGGTTGAATGAGGATTGGGCTGGGCACTTAACCCGAATTGCAGAAGAAAGAATTTAGCGCAGAATTTTCAGGGGAGTCCATAATGGAATGCGACAAGTTGAAAGGCCAAGATCGAGACACAGGTTGGATTGAACTGGCTTAATATCAAATTAGAACTTAACAGGTTACTTTACACGTTACTCCTTCTGTCGTACTGGGATGTGGCTCTTAGTCTGGACAGCCCTGAGCAATTAATTAATGAACTTTCTGAGATCCGGCTGCAATAAGTAGGCTGCAGCTAGTGAAAGGTTTAGAAAGCTACCTGCGCATGCGCGTGGGCAGCGGGCCGTGTGGCTCGGATGTCCGTGAAACACGCTGATAACATCGGCGGGGTGCTTTCACAGAGCATGGTTTTGCCTAACGGGTTCAAAGCCTTCTTGTCCAATGGTTGGGTACACCCCATACCGTTGCACACTTTGATCGCATCAGACCCACACTTACGTAACCAAACGTAAGATAAATTTGTAATTAAACGGTTTTCCTTCTACATTGAGCACAACGTAATTGATCGCCTTTTTTAAGCGCCTCTGTGGGATACGTCCGAATACAAAGTCTTGAAATGTCAGCATTTTTCATAACGGATGCCCAGTATTTATCTGGCCTTATGCATGTATGTATAGTCGGCGCAGTGGTCTAGCGGTTAGAACGCTGGCCTTGTAATCCTGGGGTCTCGGGTTCGATTCCCGGCGGTGCCCGAATTTATAATTTGTGTTGGGCAAGGCCGTGGTCTAGGCAACACGGAGTTTTCCTCCGTGGCATCCGAACAATTACTCCATTCACACACAGAAGAAGGCGATGGCAAACCACTTCTGGATCATCTGCCAAGAACGTATATGAACAGGTCCCAGTCCGAGAAAAGGATGGAAGGATCCTGTTCATATGGACCTGTCGTCAGACAGAACACTAAATAAATAATAAATGTATGTAACAATTTATGCGCGTGTACATAACACCCGTCTTTCTGGGTGTTCGTTGCGGAGCGTTCATGTTACCGTGTTAGCCTGGCTAAAACTTGAGAAATGAAAAGTTCTGTCTTCCTTTCGTGATTTACCGGTACAAATGAACTGTACCACAGCAGAACCGATCAGTTAAAATGCATCAGGAACCGGTTTCAGCACAACCAGGTTGTTAGCCAGCCATCTTTGGCTTACACCCACCTCGGCCTTAACCATCAAACAGCTGATTAAAGACGCCTGGATAACTGGAGCTGGAAAACGATGCATTTTGTCTGATCCGTTCTGCCGTGTTCCAGAGCATAAACTACAAGTGAATTAGTAAGATTTTCAAAGTGTACGTCTATTTTTTTCTGTATCCATACCCACTTAACCATCTGCCTAAAACTATCTGTATATATACAGCATGTCACAAAAAGATGTTTACACACTTTCAATGAAATAAATAAATGTTAATAAAGTAAACTTTTACTTACGTCAATATTGGCACTCAGTGAATTAGCAAATCTAATGTTCAGAATGACCATCGTCAGCTTTGTGGTACAGCTGACAGCGGTGAGAAACTGACTGACAAGCGACCACCAAAGTTGATGCTATATATACGTCTTTTTCGGACACCCTATGCACAGTCTGACCAATATAATCGACGTTAAACAATCGGGGAACTCGGCACAGCAACGCTCAATAACATTAATCGTGGGAGAATAGGCGTCACGTGACGTGGCCGAGTGACTCCTTCGTATTCGAGAGGACTCAGCCCCGGAATTTTTTCGTAAGTTCCTCTAGGAAAATATCGGGGTAGTAACGTCAGAATCCTCTTCTAGTTATTTATTTCTCATTCCAGAAATGTTTACGTCGCTGATTATAGCCTCAGCTGCTGACAGCGTCGTTACTAAATGCCAAGGGGCACTTATAATGACGTACCAGTTTAAAGGGTGGGTTATTTGAGAGTGACCGGGGACATCTCCTGACCGCGTGTACCTTACGTCGCTCCGACGTATGCAAATGTCGTAAGCTTCACAGCTTTAGTAAAAATTGAAACCCGGAGAGAAAGTAGCTTATTCTTCTCGTAGTTATGGTAATTAATATGACCAGAACTAGGTTGGGGTTACCGGTTTTATAACGTAAGATAGTATTTGAACATTCATGATCTCGTACCTATGAGTAGGTCTTCCGGATGGTCCCTTCCCTTCAAGGCTTCACAACATAAATCCTTTAGGGTCTCTACGTTCCTTGCTTCGCCGTAGGTCTGTGTGACCTCCCCAAAAGGTCTTAGTGTATAGTGTAAATTCTTATGCGACGACGAGAGACATTTTTCTGGGATGTATCACCGTGTAGTCTGGTAGATATTGGTCGACGTTTAAGAGGAGCTTAATGCTCCTATAATCACTCGATTATCATCCTGATGATGGAAACAATGTTCTTTTCATAAATGTCGACAAATCCTCCAATATGTAGACCAATTTATTGCTGGCTTTTGTAAACAGAGTGCTCAGTGAAATGCTTCAATATTGTGGAGTAGATTATAAATTATGTTGTTCAATCCACCTTTTTGTTAATTCCTCTCTTTTACGTACAATTAATTCGTGTCAGCAACCTGGTTTAAAAAAAAAAACATTAATCTACGACCTACCCTTATGATAAAGAACGAAGTTTCACACCCGTACAAATAACACGCAACATTATAACTGTATTCTGATACACTTTTTAATCGTTCAGAATGCAAAGTTCTGTTACGTGTTTTCTCAGCTTCCAAGGTTGTTTCTAAATGTTGCCAAAGATTTTTTAATGTTAACGCAAATTAATGAATTTGTTCTGAGCGCACTTTCTAGCTATTGTGCGATGTGGAAATGTGACAGAATAGGGCGCAAGGTTCCGTAATACCCCGAAGATAGTAGTGACATTTGCCTACAGCGAACAACGCTCGGTAGTCATTAAGGTCCACACTTTTTATGTGGCGAATGTTTAACAAAATATAAGGACAGCTTCAACTCCATTCAGTGTAAAATGGCTTTGCAACAACGTAA